ATATATATATATATATATATATATATATATATATATATATATATATATATATATATATATATATATATATATATATATATATATATATATATATATATATATATAAATTCTTTGTGTTAAAGTCATTAGTTCCAACCCAGAGCTCGCAAGACAAAGAAAAATTTTCTTGTCCGTTCCAATCCACGGATAATTTTTCTGAGTGGAAACTGGGCAGCCTTATCACTTACTGAATGGTTCACCACAGCAAAAAAAACCCCACTCAGATGAAACTTGCATGGTAAAATCGATGCACAAATCCGGATTATTTCCAGTGTAAATCATGACCTACTTGAGCAGTATTTATACATAATGCATTTTCAGACAAAACTTCCATACTGGTGTTTTGGTATATTTGATGGTCATGCTGGAGCGGGCGCTTCTTTGGCAACTGTCAATCAACTTCAGGATATAATTCATGAAAAACTTCATGAAATCCAAGACGTGATTGTTTGTGATGAAAAAAATTACGGAAAGTTGCCAGTATTACATGGAGCTGTTGCGCCAACTATAAGCTTCGAAGCTGTTGTTATTGGAGCATTGGAACAATCATTTTTAGAAATGGTAATATTCGATTGTTTTTGTTTCCAAGACCCAAAGTATAAGTTATATTGTCCAATATTGTACGTATGTACACTAAAGAACGTATGGTAACTAAAGAACAATTTTAATTTTAGGTTTATATATTGTAGTATTATAGGTTTTTCTTACCGTTATAGAGTAGGCTACTCACATACTGTATCAGTGAGGGGAAAAGTTGCGATTAAACATATTAAACGTAATATACAGTCCCGCCTCCTCCATAGGCCCTACTACACCATGGGAAGGTCACACACAAATTCTCCAGGGCCTGCAAAATCTTGTAAAACATAGTCATTATTTTTGCAATTAAATATACAGTAATAAATTTTAATCGTTAAGTAGCGATCGTTTCAGCCAATCACAACACAGAAGCGTCGGCAAAATGGTATATGATTGGTCTGTTGCATTTTTCCTTATCAACGCGTAGCAATGATGAAAATTCAGCCTAGACCTAGGCCTTCTAGTCTTATTTATATTTTTTTAATATTCAGCGCTTTTTCACATGAAAAGACTGGGACTAGGTGATTTGGGGGCGGGGCGGAGGAAGCAAGCCTAGAAGGCCTAGTGGATTTCCCAACAGCAAGGCCAAAACTGCCCTGAAACTGCCCTGGTTGCGAAATGCCCAATTATTGCGTT